AAAGCCAGGACAAGAACTCAGAGCTCCCAATTCAATCCTGTGCTCTTTTCACTGCACTGCACTGACTTCCAGGGTCCAGAAGGGGCTGAAAATTGCCTCAAAGTTAGCAGTAATGACAACTCAAGTCTACTTGGGGTTAACCCTGAGGACTTCAGACTGGGGTGCGACTTTATGAAAAAACACCTAGCTTGGTGTCTGGAACATAGTAAACCCTTAAGTTATTAAATAAAAGATTTTTTGAAAATGACAGAAATTTTCTGGGTGGCACTGGCTTCTAAAGGAAGGTCTAGAGAAAGACTTAGAGAAAAGTGCCACCAAAAATACATGTATTCCATATACATCTGTAAAGATCAGGGAAAAGTAGAAGTGGTGCTTTCTGAGACTTCTTGAACTCCCTCATTTGTATTTGTGTTAGCCTGCATCTTGCTGCAGTTACTAGCAAAAATCCTACACAAATGCTGGGGGGGGGGGGAGTTCTGTTTTTTCAGAGCTAGACAGTGTTAAGAAAAAAGTAGGGGAAATGTCTTCTTGATTCAAATGAATAAAGCCAGTTTAGCAGCAGGCTTGGGGCTTGACAGTGGCACCCAGTAGAAGAGTAGGTAGTGGCAGTAGTGAAAGAGACAGAGAGCCAAACCCTTGTGACTTCCAAGAGGGAAAAAATGGTGGTGAATGGGGAGCCATTTGAGATAATAAACTCTGGGGTTAAAACTGAGGAAAGGGTAGGCCCTCCCTGGTGGTGCAGCGGGTTAAAGCACTACACTGAGAAGCTAAAGCCACTTACACATGAGTTCCATTCCCACCTGCCCCGGAGGTGACCACGTGGTGCGGCAGACCTCTCCTGACCCGCCCACTGCTCCTCTCAGCAGTCGATCTGCCTGTTCTGTTCCCCACTCTGTCTCTGGTGAAGCCTCTCACCGCCCCTGAGCCTCTGGCCTGTATCCCAGCTCTGTATGTACAAATAAATAAATCTTTAAAAAAAAAAAAAAAACTGAGGAAAGGGTTATGGCTCCCCACACCCTTCCATATCTGTTCATAATATATGACAACAGTGGTTTTCTGGGGGCTCCTGTTAGTTCTCTTTCCTGACCAATGTCTCTTCTATTATCCAAGGCCATCTTGCTAATGGTCTCTTGACTAATGTATATTCTAACTCTCCCACAGCAATACAAGGAATAACCCTGACCTCTCTAGAAACATAAAAAGTCCTGGGGGGTGTGTGTGTGTTTTAACTACAACAATGACATTTAACTCAGCTTCCTAATGACTGATTCCTTTCATTTACAATTGTTCTTACATTAGCAGGGTTTTAAGGTATATTCTCATCTTAACAGTAAAGGCTCAATATGCATTTGTTGATTGATTAAAGAGTTTATAATCTAATTGGGGAGACAATATGTCCTCATGAAACAAAAAGCAGAAATTAAAGAAAACAGGGCCCTCCCTGGTGGTGCAAAGAGTTAAGTCTCAGCACTATGAAGCTATTAGCACCCATTGCAGCATGAGTTTGATCTCCAGCCAGGGAGCTGACCCACAGCGGCAACAGACCTCTCCTGTCTCACCCACTGCTCCCCTCAGCAGTGTAATTCAGTGCATCTGCCTGTTCTGCTCCCTACTGTCTGGTGAATCTTCTCACCCCCGGCACCTATGGCCTACACCCCAGTTCTTTTATGCATAAATAAACAAAATAAATCTTTGTTAAAAGTTTAAATACAAAGTGAGTTCACAGAGGTTCAGGAGATACAAAGTAGATAAATGATCTGTCAAGTTCAGCTAACTGGGGAGTTTCCAAGAGCACATAAGTTTTGAGCTTTGAAATGGAAATTTAAGGAGGTGATGGGCATGAGTTGGTGGAAAGGTAGACCTTTTCAAACAAATGCACAAAGGGAAACAATGTAAGATATAACTCAAGCCAGGACAGATGCCTGCCCCACCCAAGTATTTCCCTGTCTCAGCAGCTCTACATGATCTGTCACCACACCTGTTTCAGTTAGAAGAGATCTCCCTATGACCCAGTGCCCACCAGGCTTTCTCCACTATCAAATTCACAACTCAAGCAACACTCAGTACCCAATACTCCAGTGCTACAGGAGGAAGAAGCAGATGCAGAAAACATTTGCAGGCATTGTGAGCCACTATGACCCTGTCTAGTTGAGAATAAGTGTTTTTCTGTTTACCCCCTACATGACAGAGGAAAAATGCATATCTGATTAGAAGATGGCAGAAATATGCAGAACCGAGAAGGTCATGTTACCTTGAGCAGGCAAATACCACTTTGAAAAGCCTATGTGCTGCCACCTATGAAAAATCTGAGGTAGTGTGGCTATCTTTCCTGACAGGAGGAAAATCTGGTCATTACAGAGCATATATCAAGCAACAAAGTAAATGGTATACTGCAAGGTGCTATACAGAGAAATTAAATTGCAGTCTCTGCCCCTCGGAGCTTGGCTGTCTGACAGGAAAATTGGGACATGGCTAAGCAGAAAATATATATGATACATTTATTTAAAAATTGTCAAATGTACAAGTGTGATGCCGCTCTACTCCCATTCTTTTGACCAACATTTATTGAATGTCTACTATATGGTCCCAACCAGAGCCACAGAGACACAAAACTTTCCTCTGCCCTCGAGTTCATTTTAGCGGAAAAAAAAACAATAATTACAATACAAGATGGTTTGTGCTATAGAGACAGTCCTTGACTTACCATGGTTCAACTTGATTTTTTTGACTTTATGATGGTGTGAAAACTATATGAATTCAGTAGAAACCATGAAATAATACTCTTGTGAGAGAGACAGCACAGCAGAAGCTAGCCAGAACTCCCACTTAGCATTTTTATCATCTGTTATTTTCAACTTATGTAAGTTTATTGGGATTTAATCTCATCACAAGCGGGAAGGGTGGGGGGCAAGGTCTGTATAACATAATCCTGCACAAAGGGCTTGGAGATACAAAAAAAAAAAAAAAGGTAAAGCTAACTGCACTTAGGGAGAGAGGGAAAGCTGAATAGGGGTCTTCCAGGATGTAAGACTTGGGAGGGGATGACCAAAAAGAGGACATCCCTGGAAGTGCAGGAAAAGGTATAAAAGAGTATTCTATTTCCAGGAAAGAGTATGAAAATCTGACTGATTGGAACTTAGTGTGTCCAGGGCGAGATGAATCAGAAAAGATGAGAAGTGGCCTGAATCTAGAGTCAGAACTTTTATCACTTAGGGGAAAATCAAAGGAAATTTTAAGCAAAGAAATTTTACAATCACAGTAAATGATCCCACCCCCTAGTTTGTGACTTCGGGCAAGTCACTGAATCTCTGAGAATCAGTGTCTTCACCTGTAACATGGGAATGGTAGTGGTCTTCACCTCATCGGGTAATTGATTTGAGAAGTAAGTGGGCCAATGTATGTGGAGCAATCAGCACACTGTCTCGCAAGTAAGTGCTCTGTAAGTTTTATTTGTTATCTTGAGTGTTTCTTAGAAGTAAGTTTGGTCGAGGGCCATACCACCCTGAACGTGCAGGATCTCGTCTGATCTAGGAAGTTAAGCAGGGTCGGGCCTGGTTAGTACTTGGATTGGAGAAAGGTAATTTTGTTGGCAGCAAAGGATATAAACCGTGGTAAGGAAAAAAGTGATGACAGAAGATCCAATTAAGATGATATTGCAGGGCTTAAAGTGGGTTTAAAGTGCTATACTATGAAGCTATCCACAGCCACTGCAGCACGAGTTCAATCCCTGGCCAGGGAGGTGACCCACATGGTGCAGCAGACCTCTCCTGTCACAGCCACTGCTCCCTCAACAGTGTATTTCAGTCAATCCACCTGTTCTGTTCCCAGCTCTGTCTCTGGTGACTCCTCTCTCTCACACACATCCCACACCTCTGACCTGTACTCCAGTTCTTGTATGCATAAATAAATCATTATTTTTAAAAAGATGATACTGAAGCTTAATCCAGTGATAAATAAGATCTTGAACCAGAATTTGGATGTAAGAAGTTATGGAAATGAAAAGGTGAAGGGCAAGTCTAGCTTGGGTCATTGGGTAACAGGGACAAGTAGTAACCAAATTCAGAGATAAGAATAGCCAGAGGATAGGGATGTGATATATTAATGAGTTCGATATGGGACCTATTGAATTTGATAAGCAAAGCTCAGGAAGACGGGAACCTGGAGAACATCAATATTTAAAGGAAGGCCAGAAAAGCCAGTAGAAAAATCTGGTCAGCAACTGCAGTGTCAGTTTTAACTGCATATGGAGGAGTGAAGGGCAAGGGTGGGGAGGGGTGGGAGGGGAGAGATACTTTTAGCTAACCATTTATGTTACACAACTCTCCACCCAAGTCCCCGACAGGCATATAGCGCATTTCCTAGTCAGTTCCTTGCTTCTTACTTAATGCTTCGAATAGAGGCTGCATTTGTCCCTTTTGCCCTCTCCCAACTGAAAGCAAGGTCTGATTATCTCCCAACACGGTCACCTAGGCGACCTCGAAACATAAGGGAGGAGGCAGGATGGAGGGAAAAGTGGCACATAATTTTTAAAGAAAAGAAAAAGTCCGCGGCGACCTCTAATAATTAATAAAAGTTCCACCTCCTTATATCCTGCCACGCCGCTTTCCTGCCGCTCTTTATCAGGCTCCAGGCCACCAGGGAGGACGGGAAATGTAGTCCGCAAGCCCGACCTGGGTGGCACCACCGAAGAACTCGGTTTCCCAGCTGGCTCACCAGGCGCGTGCGCAGATGGCTGCCCCAGCGAGTGGTAAACAGAGACGTCAGGCGGGGGTTGCTGCTTGGAGCAAAACAAAAGGGAAACCCG